TTTCGCTTCACTTCCTCCCTTTTCCAGCAGCACAGTCTCTCTGCCATGTCTCCCCCAGGCTCTTAGAAGCAAACAGACATCTGACAGCAGAGGGTGGGGCAATCCTGCTGCAGCGAGGAGCAACTGAGACACCCGCTGGTAAGGGGCTGTGTGGATACTGGGCTCATCATGGTGCCGGGCCAACGCTGGGTGTGTGAAAGGCGTGGTGCCAACAGCCATTGTCTTCCACAGGGTACAGGGTGCCCTAGCTACAAGTTTAGTCAGTCTGAATGGGATCAATTAAGCCTGGAGGCAGAGCTCTCCATTCTCAGCAACTGGGGTTTGTGCTTAGGTCTTAGGTCTTAGAACAGAGCTCCTGTGAGACATGAAAACCTTCTCTTGTTTTTTCATTCCAGGGCTGGTGTATAACAGAGACATGAGAGTCCGTACGGTGAGCATTGCTCTTCTGATGTGCCCCCTGCTGCTTCTGAGCCCTGAGCTTACAGAAAACTGAGGTAGTGGAGGCCCACTCACTGAGCCCAGGCCCTGCCTCCACCCAGACGTTTACTTTCTGCTTCCCTAATTCCCACATCTCTTAAATGCTGCTGTTAAAAGATCCCGCATTTGATCATTAACTGACTCAGCTCACTGGAAAATGTTACTGATTTTTTTTAGCAGATCCTCAGCCCCAGGGCCTCCTGGCCACATTTTCCTGCCGTTATAACTCTTCAGGCAGCAGATGGATGGATGCCTTTGGTCAGCTTGTTTGTCAGGTCACCCGTATAAGAAGGGAAGGGAGAGAGTGGAGCAAAGTCTTCATGTTTGATATTTTGATAGCTTTGTGCTACTTTTCAGCAAGTAGGGCCTCCCCTACCTGTGCTACTGCCAGGCTGTGAAAGCCAGAGTATTGTACTGTCTCCTTTTTAGTAAAAGGACTTTTTAAAAACTTTTCTCTGCTATGAGATCATTCCCATATGTGCTGCATCCCAGCCCGCAGTGTTGTTGGCAGTCCTGAAACACAGCTGGACAGAAGGAGCCTTTGCAGAGCCAGCTACTCTTGTGCACAGCCTGGCTGCCTGTCATGTCCCAGCACAGCAGCTTTGGGGCTGCAGCCACCTCTGCTGTCAGAGCTGTTAGTGTGGCAGGGGTCAGGGACACCCTCTGCCCCCAGCTGCTGTCCCTGACCTTGCTGCTCTCCCTGTCTTTGCACCTGCAGCAGAATCGAGAGTCCTTCACGGTGGAGCAGTGCGTGAAGCTCCTGCAGAAGATCCAGGACCGCGTTCTCATCATTATGTGAGTGAGGCACAAGCCAAACCAACCCTTGCTGCCTCCCTGCAGCCCTGGGTGAAGGGGACGAAGGTTAGAAAGGAGTCTTCTGCTATCCCCTCTTCTGCAGCAGCCACCCAGACCTTCAGGCCAGATGGTACAACAGCACAGCCTCACATGTGAGAAGCATTTCCCAGTTCCCCACCACTGCCCTGGGCTGGGCAGGCTCCTGGAGCAGACAGCAGCTGGCATGTCCTCCTCCCAGCCTGGTGCTGTGATTTCAGGCTGGGGCTCTCTGGTGCAAAGCCAACTGAGGAAATGCCAGACCTACCCTGCCCCCTCCCCGCCAACTCCTGCCTTCATGCTGCTTTCCCACAACTTGCCATCCCTTGACCCTACAGCAAGGGGCCTTCCTGGCAAACACACGACCCTCCACAGCAGCACTCTTACTCGCTTTCCTCCTGGCCTGACTCTTTCCCCAGGGAGAGCAGCCCAGCCTGCCCCCCTCCAGACCCTGAAACCTCTCACCTGTGCACCAGGTAAAACCACAGCAACCTCTACCTCTCCCAGCTGGTCCTGGCACAGCTGGCCTGACCCAGCTCCTGCAAGCTCTCCCCTGTGGTACCCAGGGCAGGGAGAAGCTGTGGGGAGGTAGCCAGTGGCCTATCCAGGGCCCCACAAGCTATTAAGCTGTCTGGGTGGGTAGCTGGTTTTGTCAGTCCTCCTTTGCTTTTTTCCCATGTCCTTGGAAAGCAGGATGTGTAGGGCTCTGTCTGCCTTGGCCTGTGCTGTTCAAAAACTCTCAAGGAAATGGGAGGAAGTGGTAGAAGTTGAGAAATGAGTGCAGTTTTGGCTTCCCTGGCCTGTTGAAATCATAAGAGCTTAAGGATTTTCCTGCTTGTCCAGAAATGCAGTATCATGGTGAGGACAAGTCCTCTAGGCCATACAGAGTACATACCTACGAGCCTGGGATGTCACCTTGTCCCATCACCTGTAGCATGGTAGGAGTCCACATGATCTTGACTCTGCAGGAGATCTAAATGCTGGCTTCTCCAGGAGGACTGCCCTGGTACATCCCTCTCCAAGCAGGGCACGCTCTGTTTAAAAGAGCAGGATGGAGGAAAGGGACAGAGGGGAGATGTAGAAGCTGGCTGAAAGGAGAAAGTTAAGAGCAGAAGACAGGGTGGGAGCAGGGAAGATGTACTCAGACCAGTTAAGGAGCCAGCCTGGAGTGACAGTATTTAACCAGTCTCCACTCTGATACTACTAGACAATCACCCAAGGCTTTAAAGATAGTTTGACAGAAAATAGCTGCTTAGCCAAGATGCGTGGTCCTTATCTGACTACCACGTATCACCCTGTAACCCTGCTGTTTTCAAGCAGCCTGGAAAGAGCAGTGGGTCTGTCGCCCAGATGTCTTGGGGACACTGCTTCTGTCCAGGACAGCAGCAAAGATAAATGGAGGCACACTATGTGCTGTACTGAGCCTTGCTGTTGCATTTCAGAGCACAGGAGGGACTCCTGGTACCACACAAGCTAGACAGCAGAAATCACTTTGTGAAAGCCCTACAGGAGGCATTCGAGTCTACCCTCAAAGAGGTGAGAGCAAACTCCATCCTTGCATCTCCACGCTATGTGCCACCACCCTGGCAGCAGCAGCTGGGAAGCAGCTCATCTTGGTGGACACCCCCACTAGGTAATTTGTCCTGAACAACACAGCCCTCACGTGGGGGGAAGCCAACTTTGCCCCTGCTGCCAGTGTTCCAAGTTAGTACTGCCCTCTGGACCCAGCTCTTCCCTAGTCCTCCCATCCCTATCCTGCTTTGCTGACATCCCTCATGGGTGCCACACAGCAAACACAGCTTGCCTGAGGGAATGCCTTTCTTGTCCACATTTTTTTTTATGTCTTCTCCCTGTAGCACATCCAGCTAGTAGAGGTGCCTGGGAGTCATTTTGTGCACCTGAATGAGCCTGAGGTGGTGTCTGGAATCATCAGCAACTTCCTGACAGCGCACAACGCCAGAGCCAGGCTCTAGGAAGAAGGATGACTGATGCAGGAGTCCAGAACAGGGAGCTAAAAAGCAGGCTCTGGAGGAACTGTCACCATTCCTACCTTGCATCCAACATCAGTTTCATGATACCCTTCCCTAAGCGTAACTCACTGCAGGGTGGAAGGGGTCTGCCAGGGGTTCCCTGAAGGATTGTTGAGCAAAGCATCTCAGTTGTCAAAGAGAAAATGAATCATTCCTCCACTTCCAGCTCTGTGAGTACAGGGATAGATGCCCAGTGTGGCCTTCCCCTTGCTCCTGACTTGCACCCTGAAATGGAGCAGGAATAGAGGCAGAGGCATCCTCTGTAGAAGCAGCAGCACCAGCTGTAGCATTGCAAGAGAGGTGGCTCATCTCACCTCCCCCCTGAGGATGGCGTGACCAGTCTCCTTCCAGGATTAGACCGACTGAAAAAACAGGAATGTTCTGCTTCTCTGCTCACTTCCATGGGTCCCTGAGCTCAGGGGGCCTCAGTGTCTGTTCCACTGTAAGAGCTGCTGCTTTTTTAAAAATCAGCTCTTAAATAAGAGCTCACCTGGGCACAGAAGGCCATTTTAATGAACTGCTAGGGAATGAGTCACTAATCCTCTAGTTGAAGCAGCCAGGAGAACTAATAATAATGGAAAAGTTGGCAGAGATTATTTCTGTCCTTCTAAATAAAGATTAATCTCCCAATGTTAACTCTGTCTTCTTGACTCTATAGGAGAATGAACCTCTTTTCTTTTGGGATGCTTTACCCAAGCAGCTAAAACACCAGTCTTAGGAGGCAGTGATTTTTACATGCAGTCTGCTTTAGATTGGGCATATTAAGGATCCATCTGTCTCCTACTTAAATTAATGCAAAAAGCCAGCTGAGGCAAGCAGGCCTGGCAGTCTCCCCTTGCAATAGAAACTGCATTTGCAATGGGTTTTCTAGGGGAGGGTGAATCCATTTTAACCCAGCTCTGCAGAATTTACCAGCATATCCACCTTACGTTCATGGTCATGCCAATATCAAGGCTGCAGCATGTAAAATAAATGTGTGAAAACCTGGGGGTGGCTGGGTTACAGCCCCTTTCTGACCACAATAGTGTGCTGGGCTGAACAATCATTAAGTCCAAAGCTGCACAAGTGTTACGTGGGCAGTACAGAAGCACTGCCTCGCGGCTGGATGTGCCCATCACTGTCCTCACCTGCCTCCTGTGGGCTGGTGACAGGTTAAGTGGAAACAAGCCTTGGAGAGTCTGGCTTCTCCCTTCAAAGCCAGGCTGCTGTCTCACCTTGTTGATGGTGCTGAACATCGGAAGTTCCCATAGCCCAGGCTAGACATGGCTGTAGAGGTCCACACACAGCTGGAAGACTGGGCACCTCAACACCTGGCTGGGAGGAAAACACTGAGGGCAGGAGCAGGGCTTTTCCCAAGGTCACTTCCCTTCTTACTCAGCCCAGATTAACACGTGCAAAGGAGCACTGGCATACAAGCCAGGACTTTAATTGTCACCCCAGCACACACAAAACTGTCCCTCCCAGCAGACCGAGAGAGAGAGGCATTCCCATGTTTTGAGAACATAGCAACAGTTTATTTACAGTTCTTCAGCCATTCCCTGCCCCTGCAGAGGCTGTGTTAGGTCAATCCCAGCTCTCACCAAGCTTTAGGAGAGTCTTGGGTGGCAGAGAGATACAGGTTGTCACAGGAATTGCCTCAGCCCCTTGACCTAAGCACCCTGGGAAGTGGTGTCACGGGGCCAAACGACAGCCTGGCTGTGAGAGCAGGATACCAGTGGGAGTGAAGGAAGCTCCTCCTCCAGCAGCAGTTGCTGGGATCTCCCATTTCAGATCCAAGAGCAGGGACAACATGAAGCTGCCTCAATTCTTTGAAATCCTTTGGTACGTGGAGTCCACAGGCACCTCTCCCGCCCTCTCCAGCACAGTCATCTGAGGAATAGCACAGCACAGCTTAGTACGGCCGAAACTTGCGCTGGGCTCGCATCAGGGCAATTCTCTGCTTGTCCTCCTCAAATTTCTTCCTCAACTGGGCAATGTCTGAAACAGGTAGAAAGAGAAAGAGGACAGGTCACAAGGGAGCAGCAGATCTCCCTCTCCTGGTGAGCTTCACTTCCACACGCTGGGAGAGGCTCAGTCCTGAAACACAGTTATCAGAGCAGGTGCCAAGCTGGGGCTCTGGCCGTTCACCTCCAGCAGTGCTGCAGCTCCCTCTTGGGGAGGAAACAGGCCAGTTTTCCCTTTAATTGCTGCCTTTGTGCAGACTGAAGAAACATCTATTTGAAAGCCATGATCTGTGCACTCTCCCACAAAATAATGCAGCAGCCCTGGCAGGAACAGGTAGTGGCAAGGGTCCCCCAAGAGCTGGTGAGGCCATTTGCACAACCACCCAGCCATCTGTTCACCTGCAGCTGGACACAGCCTCCACTGAAGGAAAAAGGACGCTCTTGGGGCAACAGTGTGAGAGAACAAGAGACACGGGCAGAGGTAGGAGGAGACTCGGACACTCACGCTCTCTCTTGGTCTCACGATGCTGCCAGGCATAAAAGTTGAGCAGCTCTTTGCGGGCCCTTTTCTGCTTCTCCCTCTCCAGGACCCGCAGGTTGGCAGCCTCTGTCCGGGGCAGGCCGGGCTTCCGGCCCTTCCGCGTTACCTTCACCCAGCCCTCCTCATCCGGAACGCCCTCCTCCTTGGCTGCTTTGGCTTCTTCCTGTGAAGACAGGAGGGTGAGGCAGCTCAGGGCAGACGGGCTGCCAGCCTGCCCGATGCACAGCTCCCCCACAGTCCCCCTCACACACCTACAAAGCTACAGCTCCTGCTTCTGTGCAGGATTTGAAGGCAGGCATGGGACCAAGGGCACAGGCATTCAACTCTCAGTCACAACGCCGCACGCCAGCCAGGACCCAGTTTATTTGTAGATACCTGTTGCAAGCCCTGGATGGAAGAGTCAGGTGTTGTGGACCAAACCAGGACCTGACTGCCCACCAGCAACTGGGAGTAAAACAACCTTGATAGCCAGCATGTTTCCCTCTGCCCTTTCCACTGAGGCCTGGGCACCAAGAGATCCTCTCTCCTACTTTCCCCTCCTGCAACTGCTTAGCTGGGTTTCCTCCCCAGCCCGGCCTCACCTCTGCCATTTTTCTGTCATAGTCTTGCATGTAGGCATCCACCTCAGCCTTCAGCTCCTCCAAATCCACGACTGAGGCTGCATAGCTGGCAATCCACTCTGAGACAGAGAGAGCAGAAGTCAGCAGTAGCCTCTGTTAGAAGCAAGCCCTAGCACGCTGCCTTTGAGCAGCTCTAGAGAGAACTGCTGTGCGGATGGACACACTCTGTTCCCATTCCTGTTCACCCTCCCCACTGCCACAGCTCAACCAACTTGTGGCCCAGGCCACAGCCAGTAAACGATGGGAAGAGCTTGCAACTTCCCCAAGCAGGAGTGGGCTAGCCTTAAGCCCAAGAGGTGCAACATTCAGGGCTGTTTTCCTGTCAAGTGGTCACATCTGAATTGCTGTCACCTTAACAGACACCTGGTGCCTGTTATTGAGTCTGGATTCAATTTTGAGGGTAAGACACAGCCAGTTTCTCTGAATCTATGTGATACTGAAAAGATGTCAAGAAAGATGGCCTTCCATTGTACCAAGTGACCCCAGTCTCCCATAGGGTCACTGGACCAGACTACAATGTTCAATACAACAAGATTGCTACCTTGTGAATAATAAAAGCAGGACAATGAAACACCGAGTGTCTCCTGGCTCAGTACAAAATGGTGAGAATTAAATCTCAGACATGCATAGGATGTGTGGGATTTATCAAGGAAGGGGTATAGTTCTTCCCCAGCACTAGCTAGCTCTAAGATAGCTAGGGCTGACTTACTGCTAATGCCGGTTTTCACAGGGTGACTCTCAGTTGATATCAGCAAGGGACCTTCCTGTGACAGGGCCTTAGCTGCCTGGACACCACTTGGTTTCCTGAACACCACATATGCTATGTGAAATCCCTAAAAGAAAAAGACCCTCAGGCCAGTCAGATACACCAGGGAAACTGGTGATGCAGCAAGGAGCTGCAGTATAATTAAAATAAAAATCAAGTCAGAAGTTGCAATGAGATAGCAAAAAAAAAAAAGTAAACTTAAATATGTAATCACATTGCCCAGTCTCCCCAAATGGTTTTCCCGTAGAGAATCACAGAATCATTTAGGATGGAAAAGGCCTTTAACCTCATTAACCCCAACAGTAAGCCTAACACTGCCAAGTCCATCACTAAGCCATATCCTTAAGTGCCACGTTCCAAAGAGTACCATTCAGTACTTTCAATCTTTCTGACCACTAAAACATCAGTATCCCCTCCACCCCAGGCTTTACCGTTACAGTTTTGAGGTTGAAGAATTTGGACGTGAGTTTTTCTTTTTTCTCCCCCGGCTCTGGCTTCTCACAGACGTCCACAGACTGGACACGCCCGCAGCGGGCAAACAGCCTAGAGAGGGACTCCTTGATGGGGAAAATAAGAGAGAACAAACAGTACAAGCAAGCAGGAGCGATTCCTCTCCCCAGCCTCTCAGGCACGGGCTGCAGAGCGCAGCGGCAGGCTCTCCGGCCC